GTCTTGGGGCCAGCGCTGTGGCACACTAGGTTAATCCCCCGCCTGCGGCGCCGACATCCCATATGGGCGCCAGTTCAGGTCCTGGTGGTTCCTCTTCCAGTCCGGCTCTCTGCTGTGGCCTGGGAAAGTGGTGGAGGATGGCCCAGATGTTTGGGCCCCTGCACCTGCATGGGAGACCAGGAAGAGGCACCTGGCTCCTGGCTTCGGATTGGTGCAGCGCCAGCCATTGTGGCCATTTAGGGAGTGAACCAGTGGAGGGAGGACCTTTCTCTCTCTCTGTCTCCCTCTCTCTCACTATGGCTCTACCTGTCAAATAAATATTTTTTTTAAAAAAGTTGCCTTACAGATGTCCTAAATAGCACTCTGGCCTCAGAATCAGCCCTAAAGGCATTCGGAGCTGGCTGAAAAGCCCATGGGAGTATTTCAGGCATGGAAAGCCAAGACACTCTGGCAAAAGATCTCTGTGAGTGAGATCCCAGTGGAAAGAACAGGTCATCAAAGAAGGAGGTACCTTTCTCTGAAGGGAGGAGAGAACCTCCACTTTGACTATGACCTTGTCTAAACAAGATAAGAGTCGGAGAACTCAAGGGGCTTCCATAGCCTTGGAAACTCATGACTGGAGCATAGGGAGATTACTGATGCCATAGACAGGAGTGTCAATTGGTAAAGTCAACAACAGGAGTCACTGTGCACTTACTCCTCATGTAGGATCTCTGTCCTTAATGTGCTGTACATTGAGATTTAATGCTATAACGAGTACTCAAACAATATATTTCACTTTGTGTTTCTATGGGGGTGCAAACTGTTGAAATCTTTACTTAATGCATACTAAACTGATCCTCTGTAAAAAAAAAAAAAAAAAAAAAAAGAAATTATCAATTCCCAACTTGACTCTCACTGGGATTAAACATGACAATAGGTCTGCTCTGATTTCATCATCATTTAAAAAAAATCATCTATTATTTTTCACTTTATGTTACTGTGTGGGAGCAAACTGTTGAAATCCTTACTTAATGTATACTAAGCTGATCTTCTGTATATTAAGATAATCGAAAATGAATCTTGATGTGAATGGAGGGAGAGGGAGTGGGAAGGGAGGGTTGTGGGTGGGAGGGACGGTATGGGGGGGAAGCCATTGTAATCCATAAGTCGTACTTTGGAAATTTATATTCATTAAATAAAAGTTAAAAAAAAAGTTGCCTTATGCTCAGAAGAAAGATAGCAGCTTGTGGGTGCATCTTGTATTTAACAGGATGTGAATGGGAAGGAGGATTTGTGACCATTTGCTATTCCTTGAGTGGCTTGAATCCATCTCTCCAGTCTTGGTAAGAGTCCCATAGTTATAGCTGCAGGCTGACCACTCTTGCACTCAGTGCATATGGCTAGAGTGGGGATCAAACCACTAAGCCATAGTGATTAATTCAGGAGTGAGCACATGAGAGACTCTGGACATCTGTGGACATTCTGGAAGAGGATCCTGTCATTGCTAATGGTCTGAAATGTCCCAAGGAAGGGTAGCTGCTATCACAATCCTGCCAAGGGATCTCTACACTTGCACATGAAAAAAACCCAACAAGTCAGAAGTGAGAGCAGTGTGTTGTTCAGGAAGACATTTGTTGTCCCACAAATCTAGCTACATGTGAAAGAGAGCTTACCTCTGGCCACTTCTGCCACATGAGCCTATAAGTCCATCCTTCAAGTCTATTTGGAATCTTTTTCTGTTTTCAAAAGAGGAATTGAAGCTGATGCTGTATGTGGTTAGCTTCTCTAGTACGGTTGCACTATACAGGCAGTGTAGGCATCTTTCATGGAACATGTGTGAGAGGAGATGTGTCAGGTTCTTTTAAGCTATGTCTCTGCACATAGTCGCTTCGACTCTGTTGACTGCTATAAATACCAAAAGACAGTATTGCCCAAGAGGAACATACAACAAAGTCAAAAAGGAAAGAAGGCAGATACATAAACAAACACAGGCAATACTCCCAGACACCCACCAAAATGAAAGTCTTCAGCAGGTATTGTTGTGATGTGAGTGACCACAGTGGACTTTTAAGAAGTCCATGAACTCTGCAAAGGAGTAGGCAAAATGTCTGAGTGTGTGAGCCAAGAAGCTTCTATCCAGGAGATGTGTAGACCTGTCACCAGAGAAGCAAGAAGAAATCCACCTTGAACCGGTTAAGGATTAGTGATGCATACATTCTTGCAGGAACAACAAAAAGAAAATAGTTGTTGGTAAAACTGCAAATACATTCAAAATATGTTGCAAGCATGCTCACATTTCCATTCCTAGAAAAAATTTGGTAGCTACTCAGTATACATTGCTCAAATGAATTTATGAATGACCAATTGTCTGGAATAGTTGAGGAATGGGGCAGGGAAAAATAATGTGTGAACTGAGATTTGAATGAATAGAAATATGCTGACATGCTTCTTTAATGATGATGAACTTACATAATCTTAAACATTTCAAGACTTTAAAAAATGAGTATATAATTATTTACTGCGCTGGGCATTGAATAGTTAAATGCCAGTTAGGATATCTGTATCCCACACTGGAGTACCTAGGTTCTATGCCTGGATCTGGCTCTGTCTCCTGCCTCTAGCTTTCTGATAATGCATGCTCCAGGAGGTAGCAGGTGATGGCTCCAGGAATCAGGTCCCTGTCAGGTGAATGGGAGACCTGGACTGATCTTTTAGCTACAGGTTTGGCCACCTGGGCCAGCTCCAACCATTTTAGGCATTTTGGGAGTGAATCAGAGAATGGAAGTTCTCTCCCTCCAGCCCCGCCCTCGGCGCCGTCTCTTTCACTCTTCCTATTTCTCTCTCCCAAATACATAAGAGAATTTGTAAAAATCTACATGTGTTTCTAGATGGAAAACATATTCACATTGTTTACCCTTGAATCAAGGAAATGAAGTTATATCCAACACACAGTGGCTATATAAGAAATTGTTTGATTATAAATGGATAAATATCCATTCACAGTATTTTAGGACTCTACCCTTTTATATCTGTAAGCTTATGGAGGACATGTGGATGAGTATCAGGGGATGAATCTGCAAGATGCATATAAAATCCTTAAATAGGTAGGAATTTGTTTTCTATTTAGTACAGCTATCAATTTTTGACAATGGATCTATGACTTTGAGAATTTAATCATGTGATATGCCATGCGATTTCTCAATTGGTTCTTTTTCCTAATGATCAGTGTTGATGTTGGTTTAGAATTTGGAGCATGCACCCTCACTTGACTAACACCAACTCCTACATCCCGCAGGGCCATTGCCGTGGATAGAAGTGCTCACTGGTTCTACAGTTACCAAGGGGGACTTGTTATAAATAGTTTCCTCAGCTACCCCTCCCCTCTTTGTTCAACTTCTACTGAAGCAGGTCTCCACAGTTTTACAAGTTTAAAAATTTACAAGATCCCCACTTGATTTTCTGTTCACTGAAGTTTGAAAATCATAGATCTGGAGCATAGTAAAAGTTTACAAAGAATTATACTTCTTCCAAATAACCCAGTTAAGTGAAGGTACAAGCAAGCCTACAGGGAAACCCTGGGTACATTTACTATCTTAACTTACTAACCAAAGACTTCAGGTATTGAATGATGCTAGAATATGCTTTTGTCTTACAGAGAGGGTTTACATTAGCAAACTATGGTGGGATTAAAAGCTGCAGGTTTAATCTTTATTTATAAAATGAGCTTAGACTGTTTTTTAAAATATTTATTTAACTAAAAGGTGGAGTGAGAGAGAGAGAGAGAGAGAGAGAGAGAATATGAATGAATCTTCTATCTGCTGGTTCACTCCCCAAATGGTCACAAAAACCAGGGATGGGCTAAGCAGAAGCCAGGAGCCTAGGCACTGGGGCCATCTCCTGCCTTTCCAGGCACATTAGCAAAGAGCTGGATGGGAAGTGGAGCAGCCTAGACTCAGCACGCTGATATGTGATACCAGTGGCTTAACTACCTGTGACACAATCCTGGCTCCTATATGCTCTATATGCTTATTTTGTTTTTAAAAGTGTAAATACACACTCAAGCTCTATTTGCTTATTTTGTTTTTAAAAGTGTAAATACACAGTCAAGAGTTTGCACATTATATGTGAATTCTGAAAGTACAAAATTCCTTTCCCAGATCAATATGTAAGGGTGTAATCTATTTTAACTTATATGTGGTGCACGAACAGGGTATAAGAACCAAGAGTGTGCTCCTATTTTCATGCATCCAGATGATACAAAGAAAATGTCTCATGGTGGTTATTTGATTTATGAAGTAGAAATATATAAGTAATGGATTGCACTGGAGAAGAATATATTTCTTCTTGACCACTCTGCTATAGAAAAATTATTGGCAGACATTAACTCTGAGGGATAAAGGCAAATTTTTTAGAAGACAAATTTTATTGTTTTTATGACATAAAGACAGACTAAGAAATTTATATCCTAACACATTTAGCCATTTAAATAGGAATAAATCTACAGATTCCCTTGAAAATTAGCATAATCCAATAGGAACTTGGAATCTTTGGAGGATACCCACAGAAATGACACCTTGAACCGTATATAGATGTAGATGATTTCTGCAGTGTTTCCTTGTGCAAAGTACATCTGTTGCCAGATTCAGCAATAGAATTTACTTGTGCCTGTCTACTCTTCAGCTGGTGCTGTTAAGCTTCTTTGTGCTATTAGTCATACTCTTAGGTAAAACCTACGTAGGAGTTTCTAGACTCTACTGCATTTCCTGGGAAATGCAACCTTTATGGAGCCAAGCTATTCACTCTTCTTGCCCACTGTGCAGTATTTTAGCTGACAAACTAACAAGAATCAACATTTACTAATTTAGTTAGCATCTTCTCTGAACGTATTTCTCATTTTGATTTTATTGAGCAGCGATGCTAATGAAAGAAAGTGTCTAAATCAAGATCTAAATTTCCTTAAAGAGTCCCAGTCAATCTCAGGAGAAATTTCAGCTTCCTATGGAATCTGATTCATGACAGTGTCCCAGTCCTTTTCTTTCTTTTTTGCTTCTGTCCATGTAAATGACACTCTCCAACAAGACCCACTGATCCCTGGGCACCATGAGCTCCTTCAAGCTCGAGTCCTGGAATGTTCTTGTTCTTTGAAAATGCCCCTTGCCATTTCATGAGAGCCTATTTCCTGAGTCCCAGCAATGCCCTCAATGCCTCCCCATTCTCGGTCCTTCTCAAAATCTTACTGGAAGTCACTTTTCTCAAGTCTCAATGATCACTAATGCTCAGAATTCCCCATTGTATGGTGAAGGTTGGCCATCTGGGTTTCTTCCATCCTTGGCTAAGCTTCTAGAGGCTACATCCATGGTTTCTCATTCCAGTCTTTCACATCTCACTTGGTACCACCGTGAATCCTGCAAAGTGGAGTTGTCGGAAGTTTTCATTCAGTGTTCCACACCCACAAATGGTCAGAATTCATTGTTTCAGAATGTACCAATTCATGAGAAAAGTTAGAGGAAGGCAAGACTCAGGCTACTTAGCAACAAAGAATTAACTCTAGTCTCTCATATAAAACAACAATCAGATTAAAAGCTAGTGCTTAACATATTACATAAGACTTTCCCAGAATGTTATGGATATATTTCTGGAGGCTAATTTTGACTATCTATGAACTAATAAGATGAAAGTAACAGATCTCTGCTTTGCTTCTTTCCCTTGTTTGGAAGTTATGGGCCTTTAATTTCCTATGTTGTATGTCTCTGCTAGTTCTTCCACTCATTTCTGATTTATTCCGATCCATTCAAAGTGAGAGACTAAAAATCCAAGATAGCAATAAAATGAAGGTGTCTGATTTACACTAACAATGGGAATTTGAAGGGAAATGTATTTCCTAATAATGTGGATATGTATTTCCTATTTCAATCTTTCAAAATACGTGGATTAAGAAATAGCACAAAACAGGAGATTCACAAAATAAATATGTTAGGGAGATACTGCAAAATGGAAGTAATCCCACCTAGGTGTTGGGAATCATTGACTTCTTAAATTGTTTTTTAGAATATTTTACAGCATTCACATAGCACTTGTAAATAACAAGACTTGTCTGTGTGCATTCAAATGCATGTATAAATACTATATGTATTTGGTTTGAGATACTGTAGTTGATGGCCCACAAATAAAGCACAGATGGTTGCCTGATTCAGTGTGGTTACTAAAGAATATTTTGTCTGAATTATGGAGAACAAGTTGGACATTAATTAGAAATTAACCGCAAATACGAAAATGATAAATTATGTTTTAAAATGTCATGTGACAATTATATGTAAGCCAGCCAGGAAACCGGACCCAGCTTTTGTGTGCTGGTGACGATCAGTTTTAGTGAACCGAGCTTACCTGGATAAACCCTGGTATACCTTCTCATGCTGCGCGCTGGACCGGGCCGTTGCATGCTGCGCGTTCCGTTTTGCGACTTTCCATTTTAAAAATGTCTACTTCCCTCACATTCCCCAACTCCTGCTGTACCCTAAAAGGAACTCGCATTCGGGTGAACCAACCCTTCGGTTTCTTGTGGTATTTACTCAGCGCCAAGTCACCTCCTAAGGTCCAAGGGAGGTGCTCCAGCAGAGCCATGGGGGCCTTAGGAGCCGGGGGATGCCAGGGCAGCCAGTGCGTTCAGTGCAGCTGTAGATCAAGCAGATCGGGGTACCCCATCGGGGAGCCGCCCTAGCTCCACTGGCGAGCTGGAGCTCACACGCACGGCAGGGATGTGGCTGACGGGGCACTCTCTCAGATCCAAGGATGCTGGGGTGTGCCCCAGACCACTGGAGCCCCAGTCAGTCGTGGGGACCCTGGCATATGTCACCGTGTGTGCGCTTCCCTAACGCTAAGGGGCACCAGAGACCCGGGCTGCGGCGGCGACGCCTCCTTGGCGCCCCAGCTCGCCGTGGCTGCGGATGACCTGGTGGCAGTGAGGCAGCTCCTGGGAGGCTGGCGGTGGACGGGGAGGGCAGCAGGCGACCCCAGGCAGCGCAGGTGACAAGGCTTTATCTTAAGACTAGATGAGGCCACTTTTAATCCTTTCCTTCCCAGTGTGAAAACAGGGACTAACGTGTGGCGGCGATACGCCTGTCCGTAGCTGCAAAGATGGAACGCAAACAGACATGCAAACCACCACGTGGCCACCTCTGTGGACACTGCCCTCACAACCCGTCCTGTGCACTCCATAAAATCGGTTGACAAAATCGGTGCGCTGGACACCGTGGACGCCTCGTGGTTCGGGGATACACAGGCGTACTCGCGAGCACTAGAGGCCATGGCTTCTATGGCTTGCCGGCCTTCCATTGGAGAGACCACCCCCCCACCCCTTAGGGTGGTCCCCCTAAGGACAGAGAGAGAGGGTTGTCCCCAGACCCCTGCCACCCAGGGGACCTCTAACCGACCGCCCGCAACGCGGGCTTCTCCCAGAGACCCAGGGGAAGTGAGATGCTGCAGAAACCTCAGGCGGGCAGAGTCCGCATTCTGACTTTTACGGTGACAAAAGGAGGAAAAAAGGAAAAAAGTGGGGAGGGGGACAGAGAGGGAAGAGCCGGCGCGGAGCCCAGACGGCCGGGCGGGGCACCTGGGCGGCCGGCCCGCGCGTTCTCGCCCTCCTCCCGTGGCCGAGCCGCCGCCACTGCACCAGGATGGAGCGAGCTCGGCGCGGGAGGAGATGACGCAAAAGCCAGCGCTCTCCCCCCAAAAAGTGTCTCTCCAGGACGAAGATGGCGGCAACTTAGCCCGGGGACTGAAGATGACTGTGGTCTCAGGAGGCCCAGCCCAGGCGACTCGGCCCCGCGCTCCGCGGGAGGCGGCGTCAGCGGTCGGGGCCCCGGCGCCCGCGGGCAGACCTGCGGCTGGCGCGCGGGGCGCGGGGCGCGGGGTGGGGCGGAGGGCGCGCGCGGCCCGCGGCGGCGGCTGCCCAAGCTCCGGACGCCGGGAGAGGCAGCGCCGCTGAGGAGGAGCGGGAGGAGGAGGAGGACAGGGAGAAGGAGAGGAAGGAGGAGGAAGAGGAGGAGGAGGGGAGGAGGGGAGGTGCTCCGGTCGCCGTCAGTGGGCAGCAGAGACGCGGCATGCCCCCGGCGCGGGAGAGCGGGCTGTCCTCGGCAGGGCCATGGGGACCCGCGCGCTGAAGATGCCGGGGTGAGAGCAGCGGCACCAACCACTCGCTCGCTCCACCATCACCTCCGCTCGGCCCCAGCGCGGCCAGCCCAGCGCCGGCCTCCTCGGCCTCCCTCTCCCTCTGCGCTCGCTCGCGCGCGCTCTCTCTCTCTCCCTCTCTCTCCTCTCTCTCTCTCTCTCTCTCTCTCTGCATTATTGTTTCCCACTCTACAGAGATGGGGTCGGCTGATGATTAGGTCGGGAGCGAGTCATTTTCCTCTAACGCCTGGTAATATTTATGTAGGCAAAGAGGAGAGAGAGAGAGGGAGAGAGAGAGAGTGAGAGAAGGAGAAGGGGAGAGAGAGAGAGAGAGAGAGGAGAGATAGGGAGAGAGAGAAGAAACGGGAGGAGGGGATAAGGAAATTAAACCCTTTAAGTCAATGCATATTGTGGTGACACCGGCAGCGGAGCCCTCACGGTGGAGTCGGCCAGGGCTGTGCGCTCCCAAAATATGACCAGGGGTGCTTGGATGTGTCGGCAGTATGACGACGGCTTAAAAATCTGGTTGGCAGCACCCCGGGAGAACGAGAAACCGTTCATCGATTCCGAGAGGGCTCAGAAATGGCGACTGTCTCTGGCATCTCTCTTGTTTTTCACAGTCCTGCTCTCTGATCACTTGTGGTTCTGCGCCGAGGCCAAACTGACCCGGACCCGGGACAAGGAGCAGCAGCAGCAGCAGCAGCAGCAGCAGCAGCGCCAGCGCCAGCGGCAGCAGCGCCAGCGGCAGCAGGAGCCCTCCTGGCCCGCGCTGCTGGCCAGCATGGGAGAGTCCTCGCCCGCCGCCCAGGCACACAGACTCCTCTCCGCCTCCTCGTCCCCCACCCTGCCCCCGTCCCCGGGAGACGGCGGCGGCGGCGGCAAGGGCGCCCGAGGCAAAAGCAAGCGGAGCAAAGCTCTTTTTCTAGGAAACTCTGCCAAGCCAGTGTGGCGCCTGGAGACTTGTTACCCCCAGGGCGCCTCCTCGGGCCAGTGCTTCACCGTGGAGAGCGCGGACTCGGTGTGCGCCAGGAACTGGAGTCGGGGGGTGGCGGCCGCGGGGGAGGAGCAGCAGCGCGCAGCTCCGCTCTGGAACCTGTCGGATTTTTACCTTTCGTTTTGTAATTCCTACACACTCTGGGAGTTGTTCTCGGGGCTGTCCAGCCCCAACACTTTGAACTGCAGTCTGGATGAGGTGCTCACGGAAGGCGGGGAGATGACCACCTGCAGGCAGTGCGTCGAGGCGTACCAGGACTACGACCACCACGCGCAGGAGAAGTACGAGGAGTTTGAGAGCGTGCTCCACAAGTACTTACAGTCGCAGGAGTACTCGGTCAAGTCCTGTCCCGAGGACTGCAAGGTAGGCGCAGCGGGGTGGCCCCCTTTCCCGCGCGTCTCTCCGTGTCTGCTCCATCGGGGGAATCTTCCAGGGTTTGCAACCTGGAGGGGGTGGTGGTGGCATTTTTGTCTCTGGTGTTGCGACTTTCCTGGTGGCTTTCGTGGTTGTAAGAGCTCTACTCTGCTGCTCCAGTCCGGAGTGCCTGGCGCATTGCTGATGGGCTGATGTTTTCCTTCTTCCGGGAATCCTTGGGAGATCAGGAAGGTTCCTGGTCTCCTGGGGTGAGCCAGGCAGTGGTCCACTGCTTGTCGTAGCTGTGCAGTTGGCTCTGACTCTGCTACGTGTTGTCGGGAATGGCATGTGAGCAAGGCTTGCCAGGAGTACACAGTGGGCTGCCCCCTGAGCACCACAGAGAGAGAAGAGTCGGGGAGATAGACAGGGTGTGTGTGGTGTGGCACCTGTCCCTGACACAGGGACCTTCTGACGGTGACATCATTAACTTGGTTGATCAGAGGAACGAGACAGTGTTTGTGGTGGTTTGTGTAAGAGAGGCAAGGAAAAATGTAAATTCTCACAGGGGTGGTTCAGGGTGTTTGGAAAGTCCTCTGGGCCTACCTGAGTGTGTTCACTGAGTTTCTTGTTCTCTTGGACACTTATGATTATTCATCCAACATGCACTACGAGTGGAGCAGAAAGTTGTAATCGGGCGTCTAGAGAGGATAGCAGTTTTATTTATCAAACACCTTATGTAACTAGCTTGATTTTTCAGCATGTTCTTCTGAACTCCTAAATGACCAATCCTTGATGCTGTGACTTAAAATTTACTGAAATGCTTGATAAATCTGTTATATTTGAGCATTTCCTGTTCAATATAATACATAACTTGCTGATTGGCAAAAAAGTCTACTAGTTTCCTAAAAACTGGTCCTCCATTGGGCACCTGTCCCAGTATGGGTGTCTGTCCATGGTGCTGAAATGGAATTACTGGAGAGCTGGGTTTGAGGATGACAGTATGCAGTGATCTTTCCTAGTGAAGAAGTGATGGCACAGTGTCTCTGTCTTAATACTTCACTACAATAAACTTTATAAGCAACACAAAAAATATTACTGCTTTCCTAAAGAAATAATACACTGCAGTTTCTATTCCTTTTCCCTACTTCCCCAACCACACAAAAGCAGAATACTACCCATTTTTGCTACACTTGCTGGGCCCCGGTAAGAGCAATGAAGGGTAGCATAGACCAAAGTGATTTGTGATGCTTCCACAAGGAAACTGGGTTGAGGGATAAATCATTTCTGATGAAAATAGTTCAAGGCCTATATTTCACTTTGGGCCAGTTAGTTGTGCTTTTGACAATTAAGCTGACTCAAACTGAACCTACTTTAACATCAATCTTTAAGACCAGAAACTAGATCTTTGAAAACAAGAATTCTGAATTATGTGAATTTAGAATGTTATTTCCCTGCATAACTTGATCCTAACTTTTCCTACCTATTTTTTAACCATACCACTGTAATTGATACCAGAGAATTAATCATAATGGTAGAAATTAATGAATATGTCTTGTACTTATTGCATAATTTTAACAAGATGTGTTACAGCAATTTTCTTATTCTATATTTTCATGTATCTTATAGTTCTACTAATAAGATATTGCCAAGTTTTGGCAATTTATGTTAAAGAATGGCACTTTGTAATAATTTGAATTTCCTTATTTCTCTGAATGTGAATCCTCCAGAAATTTTTAATAACTTCATTTTGCATTTTCCTATTTACCAGAGGAACTGCATAGTCAACAATAGGTTGCAGAATATTTTCAAGTAACCATGTCAAATATATTTCATTCTGAGGTCTAAGTAAATATAAAAACATTTTTCCTTTCCTCCGACCTGAATTCTCAACTTTATATCATCAAATCAACCATGCATAGTGTAAGTTAACTACATTTATTTAGACCTTTGAATGTGTACTATATTTTAATGTAAGATAGGAGTTGCTCATTTGTATATGCAAGGATATTACAGGAATATTAACTCCTTAAAAAATTCTTCCTCACGCTGAAAATTTAGCATAGACTTTTTGTACTTCACATCACAGAATAGAACTTATTGCCTGTGATGTCATGCAGAGTTTTTTTGGCTGCAGAATTTTTTGTTATTGTTATCTGTCAATTTAAAACATTTACTCTATAACAACTAACTAAAAAATTAAAGTTTCATGATTGCAGTGCTAGAGGTCTTAGATTTAGAGTCATAAGTCAGTTGGTATACGTGGAAATATAAAACAAGCATCATTCCTTAGTTTGGGAAATAATTTCTGACTAATTCCAAAAAACCCATAAACACATTCATAAACTGTACATAGGCCACATTCTATGGTTTAAAATGTTGCTTGTCATTTTTGAAGACTGTTTTTTATTTTCTTTATGAATACTTAAACTTATTTCACATGTACTTATAGTTCTGGAATGATAATTGAGAGTTTTATTCAAGGCAGAACTCCTATGCAAAACTTCATTTTAAAGGTAGCTACAAAGTCAGACTCCATTAAAAGTAAATGTATTATATTTAAATCATTGTTAATATACTCATAAAATGGTTTAGAAATATATTGCCCTAAAACTAGTGAGATTCATATTTTAGAAATACATTAATTATACTCACATATAATCCAATAATGTATGGTTTTAACTTTTTAGAGTTAGAATACATCATTATTTTCTAGTTCAATATTTTTCACCCAGTAAAAATTGCCACATTTCATGTATGTGTCAAATGAAGACAGATTAAATTTCATTTTGATTTAAACTTTTAAAGAAATTTTGGAAACTTATTTAAAAATCCTTAAAATAGATTTAAATTATCCTACTGCTTTGAATTCACAGTAATTTGATGTCAAATGCAATTTAGTTTTACTTTGGTAAAGGCTTTGTATTGTAACAAGTCATAGAAATAATTTGGACCCAAGAATGCTTTTAATGTTGTTGGAAATAGCTTAATTTTTAAAAAGTAAATATATGCATTTATCCAAGAAGTAATTTATAGAGAAATAAGAAACAAAAACCATTGCTTATATCATGTTTGCTACAGCATGCTGTGTTATTACATAAATTAAGAAAAAATTATGGCAGTAATTTTGCCTTTAGTTTATAGTATTATTAAAAACAATGCTTCTGATATATAATAGGAATCTGAAATCTCAAAATATTAAAGTTGGCAATATTTGAATGACATATCTAAGCTACAGAATTACACATGTATATTAACATGCTTGATTTTCATTTAAAGACTTTTTCTTATATATGTCATTTTATTAGCTTCTGGGAATTCTTGAAGATGAGTATTCTAAAAATGAGATGTTTAGGGAATACACATTTTTACATTACAGGTGAATTATTGTAATTACTGATAGCTCTATCTGCTTACATATGCCCTCAAATAATTGGTCAGTGAAAGTGAGTTTGAGATTAGATTCTAAGTATTACACCATTTATGCTGCAATTATCTAAGAATAAATTTGCATCTTTATCCTTTCAAGAATGTACACATTCTTTTATTATCTTATATTAAAGCAGATTATATTGCTTATTTTTATTTACCAGATACTGATGAAAAGGATTACTTGAACATGGGCATCTGAGTTTGACAATAGTGTCGTTTCTGCAAGTACTGTTCATAAACATTACCCAGTTTGAGTACGTAGTTTGGTTTACATGATGTACAATTTGAGGGAAAAAAAGGCATTTTTAATTTTATTTCAGTGTCATGCACTATAGATACACAAAAAGGTAACGTTTTTAAAAAATTAAATCTCACAATTGTTTCACTTGAAAATTTTGAATCTAAAATATTACTTTGCTATTTAGCAATACTGCACATACTTTGTTACTTTCCTAAAGTGTGAAGTACACATTTGTTAAGTGGACAGTTTTTATACTATTTATACCTCATTATTTTCATATTCTTGTAGTTGCTTCTGTACAAAGTCCATCTGATTATTGAGATGATTGGGCATTCATAAGGTCAAGGCCACTACTGCAATCCTTCTTGTGACACAGATTTATGTTTTCACATTTTGCTGTATGTGTGACTGTTGATTTATGATCTATGCTTTATTTATATGAAGAAACATGCAGTTTTTTTCTGAATATCAGATGCCAGTTTTATGTGAACTAAGTAATATACATTTTAGGTTTAGAATTGTAACTGGGTGAAATTAGTAGCTATAGAGATAGGGCATGACCACAAAGTTTAAACGATTGCTGTTGTGTCTTGGTTTTAAGCACTATGATTAGGTGGGATGAGTGTCTACATGTGGAGGACGAATTAAAATATGTAGGAAAGGAAAACAAGCAATGCTGTTGGTTTGATTTTTCCCTTCATGTAAATTATAGGATATCTTTGCTTTCTAGATTTAATATGCAAGAGCAAATATAGAGATGGCTATTTCAAACAAAGAGAAACTTAGGTTTGGATTATATTAGCTATTGCATTAATCTCCTGTCTCAATTTTTTTTTTTAATCTTTGTGATCTGTGTCAATCTCACAATGACTAGGACAATTATTGTTTATAGAGTTTTCCATTAGAGACATATCCTTTAGATCAGAGATCCTTGGGCTCACAGTAGAATATCCTGGGGAGCACTGAGGCCTACATATTCCCAGTCCCAAGAGGTTCTGATTTCCTTGTTCTGAGTGTTTCATGGGCTTGGGCTCTTTCAGAGATTTCAGGGTGATTTTATTGTGCAGCATGGATGAGAACCAGCATTCTGGTTGGCAGTGTTAGTGAATGTGGAAAGACCTTTCAGCTCCTGTATTTCAGGTCTAAATAATCCTATTTGCTCAAATTGTGGGAGGAGAATTCAGACAGATACTTTGTAAAAGTGTTAAAGGACATAGCCAGAGGGCAGGGGAGAAAGTACACAAGGTAACTAGGCTGAGAAAGTGGAAGAGAAGTGAAAAGACTGACTTAAAGTTTGGGCAATGTGATAGAAGAGAAGGTGGAGACAAAGTGGAAGCGT